ATACTACTATTATATATATATATATATATATATATATATATATATATATTTGTTTCATGTTTCATGCTCATTGGTTCCCCTTTCACATGAACTTTGCGCGGCCCGAACTCGTCCTCATTCGGAATTGCACGTACGTTATCCTAACGTAAGTCGCATACGTGCAACCGTACCGACGTTTCTATTCCGCTCGCGGACGGATAATTAGTTCGAATGAACGTGATTTCCCCGCGCGCGGACGATCGCGCATAGATCTTTTCGACGATCGCGCAATCCGTTTGCCGAATGATCGATTCGATCGGCGGCTCGATTTTCGCCGTAAACGGGCGCGATCCGATTTCCTCCACGGTGGCCTGCGCGTGTTATACACTTGGAAATTGCAGTCGGATTACGAGCGAGGCGAGCGGCGTCGAGTCGGGAACTAACTATAAGTGCAGTCGAACCTCGCTCCTCAAGTATGCTGATCTCGAGATTGCTCGTCGTATCAAGGTGCAAACCTATCGCCGTTAAATTGCAATCGCTTTCTGTTTAATTCGAGAAATTAAAATAAGACGATTGCGAAAACGGAAGAAAATAGCCGATTAATCGAAAATCGTCGAGCGAGAGAGAAAGAAAATAAATGCCAGGCGTTACGCACGTGTTACACATCCGCTCGTGTAACTTTGGATTTATGAGAAAATTTACTAATGAAAATGTTGCGTGAATAGACAAAAAAATGAATGAAAAGTAATTTTTGGTTGTTGCGATTATTTCAAGAAATATTAAAATTCCTTATCCGTTGATGTCCCACATTTCTGACAAAAGATTTCTCGATGCGTCGTTTACGATGTCTATCATTCGTTCGGACGTCCATCATTCGTCAAAATGTGCGCGCGAAAACATTGTCGACGTGTTCTTTGCGTGCGTGTCCAACGTGGGGACACCTCTCTCTCGCGTGAAACATCAGTTTAATATAAACACCCTTATCGATGTGCCGGCGAGTCTCCGGTTGAATTTTCAATCGCCGCGCGGTGCCGCCGCCGCCGCCGCCGCCGCCGCCGCGAGAGAGAGGACCGATTATGCCGGGGAAAAAAGCGACGACGGAATAACAAGTCGCATATTTATGAGCTTACTTTGAAAACCGATTCAACGTGCGGGTTATCTTCCTCCTTCTTCTGCCGGGACATTTTATACAATGATAAGTAGGTCCGCTTGACCACCTACTCACCCATACACACACAAGCACAAAACACACACACACACACACACACACACACACACACACACACACACACACACACACACACACATACATACAGAGTCTAACAAGGTTCGCCTACGTATATGCATAAGAATGTGCAGTTAATTAACCGCTCGGTATCGGACATCTGATTGCCCATTTAATTGGATTAGGTATGGTATATGCGCGTTTCTATGAGAACGTATACGCGGTAATTACATCGGTGTATGCCGCTGTACTTGTTACATACCGCGGTGGTACCGGTCGTTCGGTCGAACGAATCTGGAACGAAACTGGAAAATGTCGATCTCTCTGCTAACTAGAAATATTGGCGCGCGGCCGTACGTATAAGGAAGGTCTTGCATAAATCTATTATAGAATTTTTGTGTAATCTAAAAGTGTAATCCTCGAGCTGACGGGAGCTGCTTTCGCGTGTAAACTAATTTAGTCAACGTGTCAAAATAGGCATTACACGAAATCGAAGTGTAGTTTCTGCTTTTTTAACAGGTTTTAGACACGATCTAGAGAAACAAAAAGGGGAAGTGAACATCTCAAAGGCGCTTCGAACTTTAAGTCTGAAAGTTTCAAATTATGAAACTTTAAGATTCTACATCATCTATAATCTACTTGCTTTGAATATCAAAACCCGCCAAATTATAATAAAGTTTACTTAGACACGGTGAAATGTAAGTTTACTTTCAAAGAAGATAATCCTTACTTGCATTGTGACACTTACTGCAGATTTTTTTTCCCTCTTTGTGCAAATCTTGAGTGTTTAATCCAGTTTGAAACTTTTATATTTCTTATGTAACTTCTAAAGTGTTATTTTTCTTTACATTGCGAAATATCACAGAGGAATCCGCACAAATCTGACGAGTTTCTACAAGTTTTCTAGGAGGATCTAAGATTTGCGGGCAACTTGATTGGGAAACGCTTTGTCTTATGCCCTAACCAATAGTAGATTAACTTTAATCTCGATTTAAATTTAGTTTTTACTTTTTTTTAATTATTATTTTTATTTTTCTAATTTTATTAATTTCTATCAGTGTAAATTAATCTCGATTTAAATTTATTCTTTTCCTAATTTTTTCTAATTAAAAAAAGAAGAAAAGCTTAAAAGTTAAATTGAAATTAAAATTAATCTACATTGGTAAATGGGCATTAGAAAAACATGAAAAGCGAGTTAAACCGAGATTAAAGTTAAATCTACATTGATAAAAATGAATATTAATTGTGTTGACATCTTCCTTGTCATTCGGCGGTTCAACTTGTATGTTCTCCGGACAATGAAGACGAGGCGTAAAACGAGTCCGGTGAAGCGAGCATTTAAAGGTCGTTCGCGGTACAAAAAGAAGCGTTAGAAAGCGAACGAGCGGTACGTGGGAGTTGATGTGAGACTTTCGCGCACGTGTGCAGATCTACGCGAGTGTGTGCGGTACGTACGAGGAATGTCGCCGGCGAATGTAATGTACATCATGTAATGATGTGAGAGAGAGCCACTGATTTACAGCGCGGTCCGCGGTTACTCCGAAACTTCCTAACTTCGCTTTCGCAATTTCATTTCGAGTATTCTTCATCGGATTAAATTGAAGGTGGCCGTACAAGAAAGCGGTAAGATGGCGGCACGAAAATCTCGGGCGGAACTACTTTATTAAGTAACATTTTTTACCTCGAGAAGATATGAGAGAGAAGCAATTCTCTTACGTTTATTTGCTTCATACCGGCAATAATATTAATCACGTCAAAATAAAGAGCGGCAAGGCTGAGTTATAGTGTACGGAGCTCGCGTTCGTGATTCTTCTTCCGCGATTTGCGAATTTATTTCGTGAATTTTTAATCCCGGAATACACGTTCCAGGGATCGTTTTTTTTTTTAAAGTCAGAGTTTTCTCTTTATTTGGATATATTATTATGCAAGAATAAATTGCACGGCGCGACTTCGAAAGTGTAGAATTTCAAATGGACGATAGTTACTACCCAACTACCAATGCAAACTAAAACCACGCTTACTTTTGCTTTTATGTGTTCTGCCGTTGAATTGAAGTTTAATAACCATCGGTCAGGATTATAAAACGCACGTATGTGTTCTCGCAGAGCACACCACCAGATATACTCGGAAATGAAGTCATTCCTCTTCTTTTTTTTCTCTCTCTTTGTCATTGCTCCAGAAAGTTTGTTTCTCTCGAGTTGATGACAGTAAACAAATTAGATTTCGTGTCCAATAATTTGTTTGCTCGTCGAAACATTAAAGGCTTAAGGCGTCAGGGCTCGCCGTAAACCATTCGAAATGTAAGCCGCGTGGAACGCGGTCACGTTCTTTTTCCCGGGATAAAATTCTAAAAGCCTATTTCTCAGTCTTAGCGCACGACATATGTGGTTTCTTCTGGGTCTACAAAAGCCCCGTTCGTGCGATCTCGTCTGGCTGGCTGTAAGTCGTGCAAATGTTACGCGCGATGCAGCGCCGCAACCGCAGCTCTCGGACTCGCGATACGAGGCGGCCTGCCCCTCGGGGCTGCCGATCGTATTTATAGGCGTAGTATATCGCACGCAGCTAGATTAAGTAGATAAGCTTCGATATGAGTCGATTCCGATTGTCTCCCGCTGGTCAGGTTGTGCATACCGCCTCGCTGCCTCCTCTCGCTCGATGCACCGCGGGACAGACTGCCGTAACCAGCTGCACTTGCTCTCGAGCTTGTAACGCTTGTAAAAAAACGGGCCGTCGAGTTTCTGCGATTCATTACTTAGTGCCGATATCATCTCGAACGAGATCGAACGGCATGTTTCGACGAGCGAGAACGTATACGCGTTTTTAACTTCGCGATGCAACATTGCGTTTGTAGCGCTTGTGCATACGTCAATTGTGGCAAATCGTTCAAACTTTTTGAAAGTCTTTAACGAAATGTATTTGTGTTTTTATATTTGTAAAACAGGATTTTATTGTATTTTCGTGCGATAACGCATTACATATTGCTCTCCATAAGATATTCATGAAATTATTTATTTTTGGAGGAAAAATTGGAAATTACGTGAGCATATTAATGAAAAATCCAACTCGATAATAATGTCAGAAAAAAAACGATTGTTTTTTTTTTTGCGTATGTGGATTTTCTCTTAAGAGTGTAACTACGTACACATTTCTCGTAATTTCTCAAATGATTTCAGCCGGAAAATATAACGCTGGAATAGATTTCCTCTTGCATAACTGCATCCAATTATAGAGTCACCCGTAATTAAGAGGGAAATTATACGCGAATTATACGCGATACAGCTTAGGTTGATTTATCGTCGTCGGAGAAACATGAAACATGAATCAATTTTTTGAATATTGATACTCCGACTTTCAATGCGGGAGTGTGAAAGTGCATAAGTAACGCATTCGCTTATAATTCAAAGATATTGCGTAAAGGTGGACGACCTGAAATTTGCGAGTACTGCTTTTTTTTGCACCTGTTTGTAATTTCTGACGTAATAGTGACTGGTTGTCTTTTTTTTTTGAATTCTCAGAAAAAACTGGAATGTTAACGCACACTCAGGAAGGAATTGGACAATCGCGAAATGAAAGGAACGCAACGCAGTAATTATGTACTCTTTTGCGCGATATTAAGTCTTACTAATGATCACCTATTTGGCTGTAATTATTTATACGCTGATTGCGGTTAACGGGAAAGTATTTGTTAGCTCGAGTAAATGTGAGATATGTTGATGTCTACTCTGATTTATTGTTGCTTTGCTACTGATATTTATATATCTCGCGTATATATCATACATTTCAATTCCGCGCGGTATTAATGGGGCGTACGGAAGCTCGCGTGAAAAGCGAAAAGAGCAAGCTGAATCTGCAACAATACGGATGTCGGAAAAATATTCATGAATAGGTAAGCGAAATTAATTTTTAAGTGGTCGTGGCTGAATGCAACTGACAGCTTGTCACTGTGATAGCAAGAGCGATATTAAGAAGTGAGACGTGACAGTTACTTTTTGGATCATAAAATTTGGCATTTTATATGATTATTTTATTTCACGTCATTTAATAAATATCCATTCTTTATAAATACGCTCAGTTTATAATTCGATTTTTCATATCTTTTCGTATCTTTTTATACTTGATTCATTTTATTTTTATAAAAGAAAATGTTATTTTGTATGAATATCTTAATGTGTTTACTGTTAGATGAAATTGGCAATTATTTAATAATGGTGCCAAATATATGTGAGATTTATTGGAAGTGAAATTAATTTTCACAATTTCTGTGCAATTCCTGAGTTATAATTCAGAATAGAATCTCTTTCGAAAGGTATGGTAATAGATAGACAAATGTTGGTTGGATGATTCGAAATCATCTGCGGTATATTACGCATGAGATGTAAGTTTGTTGCACGAGATGCAACGCGGCGCAGCATCGCAATCGACACGCGTATCTCGCGCTCGCTTTAACGCTACATCTTCCGTCCATTTTTGAATCCTCAGTGGAAACACGCATCGCGAACGGAGGCTTCCATCTCGAATGGTTATGATGTATGTATGTGGGCATATCCATTTACATATTAATGCATCGTATTTTGAGATGAAACGCTTTCTGTGCTTCAAAATATTCAATGATGACAAAAGCAACAAAGTACATCGCGCTGCGTGCTGTAGGCAACTCTCTCTCGCGATTTTTTTGCTTTGACATACTCTTCGACATCAAAAATATATTTGTCTCTTAGAATCTTTAAAATTATAATAGAGTATGTATAATAATTATTTTATTCTGATTTTATAAAAGTTATTTAATTTACGAGTTGAATAATGCATGTTTAATTTATTTTAAACTTGGAAAAAGATTTGGATATTCTAATAATAAAAAAAAACTTGAAACTCTCTTTGCGTGTAAATTATGAAATGAATCTAATATATTAATGATATATATATTTAATAATAAATTTGATTATCATGTTCTTGTAATATTCTTCGCTTTTATTGATTGCCTCTTATGCCGTGCATTATGCTTCTTTCCCGAGATAATGGATTCACCTCTGGTCTGATTATTATTTCTCTTCCAATCTCTAACTAGAAATATTCGCATATTTTATACAGAAATAAAATATTCACGCATGCAAATTATAATCTGTACACTTTTCATATTTTCAATTATCTTACGCATAAATCTAACACCGAACATTATTAACATTTCCCGTGTTAATATTAAATTATATATTATATTGTCTGATAAATAATCAGAAAAATAATTATTTACAATTATATATATATATATATATATATATATATATATAT